GTTGATGATCGGCCCCTGTGTTCAGCTCCATTAGACATTATAAAATACTCTGTAAATTTCGTTCATTTTAAAAAAGGTAAAATTCAGACATAACTTATGGGATGACCTGATATATTCAATAATATATACTTATAACATTTAGCACTGTTTTTATAACATCTTAGGAATAAATATACTTAAGTACGTGCAAGCATTCTGCGTGTTATAAATTTTTTATCCTATCCATTTGCATATATATATATATATATATATATATATATATATATATATATATATATATATATATATATATTGGTTTGCAGATCTGAAAGATTTGAGGCTCTTACTAACTATGAAAATTTAAATATTGGAGATCCCATTAATTATATATTACATTTTATTATATGTTATACTCTATTATATTTTATTACATATTATATGATTTTATAGTATATATTATAATATTTTTATTGTATATTATAATATATTTTATATGATATTTATATTTTTTATATATTATGTTATTATATATTATATTTATTTATATAATATTAATATTATATTAATTATATATTTTATTATATATATTTCATTAATTATATATTATATTTAAAATGTTTGATATTCATTCATTATATATATATATTCTTTAATTATATACATACATACATACACATACACACGCACACACGTACACACATATATATATTCATAATTAAGTAATATATATATATATTTATATTTATATACACACAATTTTCACACACACACACACATATATATATGTGTATATATATATATATATATATATATATATATATATATATATATATATATATATATATATATATATATATATAAAAGGCTTAAACACTAATATTCCATGGTCATAATTTATTCCATTGGAATCGTAAATACGATCCAAATCATCAGACCTACAAATTCAAAATGAAAACAGAAAAAACAACTCCGGAAATCAAAACAGAATTTAGAGAATTTGAATTTGTAGGTCTGATGATTTGGATCGTATTTACGATTCCAATGGAATAAATTATGACCATGGAATATTAGTGTTTAAGCCTTTTATTATATCTTACTCTGTCCTAGACATTGAGTTCTACCTGGATCCTTCCTCTCTTGAATTTTTTTTTTCTGAAAATATACATGTATGGGAATTTTTTAGATATATTTTTCATATGTATGTATATTTTCCACTAATATTATCTATATATATATATATATATATATATATATATATATATATATATATATATATATATATATATATGAACCTAAAGAGCCAGGTAAACCTGCATAGGTTTCACCTATACGGATCGATCGTCAGGGTATCTGGCCAGTTAATCCTGACAATCCGCGTAGGTGAAATCTAGGTAGGTTTACCTGGCTCTTTAGGTTCATGGTTAGGTTTGCTCTACTTAGCGTATTGAGCACTTTGTGTAGTTACTTTTGCTTTACTCATTTTTCAGGTTTTTTTCTTTGGATTCTGAACTTGAATTCTGGACGATTGTTTTCGCCTCAATTACATGTTCTTAGTTCTTTCTTTTTTTATTCCTTATTTTTCCTTGGGTATTGGTTTGTTCGTTTACAAGCCAAAATACCTAAGGTCTTTCCAAACGAGTATGAATATTTATATTATTATTACTATTATAGTTATTATTATTATTATTTACACACACACACACATATATATATATATATATATATATATATATATATATATATATATATATATATATATATATAGCAGGACAGACTGGGTTCTATAGCCTTGGATGGCAACTGGTCTAGGAGAAGGACAACTCTGAATTCAAAACCTGCGGAGGGTCGTTTGGGAACCTTGTGGCATTCGGTGCACCAGGTTTCTGTATTCGTCCCTCCAAAAAGTGTGGCTGGTCCTGCACGAGGCCTTCACCACTATAATCAAATCTCATGTGCCGGTGTCGGGATGTCGGTTTCCTGGAGACTTATCGGCCTGACCCTCATACGTCGAACGCGACGGGAGAGTCGATTATATATATATATACTGGTTTGCAGGTCTGAAACATTGAAGGCTATTTTTTATAGCTTTCATGAAATATGATATTTTAAGTGTTTGATATTCATTAATATATACATATATATATATATATAGTTTTTTTTAGCAAATGATCCAAAGTATACGATAAACGAAAGTATTCATAATGTCACTGACTTGCTGATACTATCTTGCTCTTATCGACGTTGCTTAAGATAAAAATTTCAAGTAACATTTTAGAACCAACAGAAAATACTTGTCTTTATCAAACGAAGAACTGTCATTGTTAGCCTTTTTGAAGAAGTAAATAATTCAGTAGATCGATCCTTTATTTTCACATAAATATTTATGTTTTTCCGTGACATTTTGCATGAAAATCTTGAATGACCACTGGTACTCGTGAATGTCCGTTGAAAAATGCAATGTAGGTCTTCAAAGCCGATCGTCGTCATATGCGAAGTTCCCAGTGTTGTCATTTAGATGTTGTAGCAATATGCTACATTCTAATGTTTTTATTTTCTTTGTAGATAATTGTTAGTAGCTTGACATTTTTCAACCGATAATGTTTCACACAGAATGAATTTCAACTGGAAGAAAAAAGGAAAAGAAAATCTTTCACGTTACATCAGAAATTAATGATTATTAAAAAACTAAACGAAACCACTAATTCGTTGAATTTGCAAATTAACAAACACGAATTGCAGAATCTGAGCGAAACACTAAAACTTGCGCTTGAAGATAATCCAATGAATCCTCTCATTTCGATTGGCTTAAAAGAATGGATGATAAAGAAGATTTGGGTTCAGTAGAAAAAGTTATTGATGAGGTTATCACATTCATGGGGAATAAATCTGTATTCAGTAGTACAGAATCTATAAGTGCAAGTCATTGCAGAATGCTTTACTTTTAAAAAACTAGATGAGCGAAAATAAGCGAAATGTGAAACGAAATAAGAAAGACAATTGAAAATAAATCTTATTGAACATTAAATATTGCAAATTAATATTGACTTTCGTGAGAGACTTAACTTTTCATATATTGCGATAAGTTCTTGTCTTTTGCTAAGTTTTTTTGTGTTTTTTGTTTTTAAGCATTCTAACCCAAGCAAGGCAGAAAGCCCCTATCACGCAAGGGGTTACAGAGAGTTGGAGCGAGAGCAAATAGGAGTGATAGAGGAAAGGATGAAGAGAAGGATAGTGGATAGATCAAGGCATCTGGAGACGTCGATTGACATTACATTTGAATAGTTGGAGATTATAGATATCAGAGAAACAAGAAATGGGCAGGGAGTTCCACAGGCGAGAAGTGCGAGACATGAGTCAATTGAAGTAGAAGAAACGGCCACATTTAACAGTTTCGACAGTGAAAAGGTGAGAGCCAGATGCCAGACTAGTTGAACGCTTAAATTCATGAAGTCTTGCAACCAGCGAAAGCAGCTCATCGGAGCAGTTACCATGAAAGTATTTGTAAAAAAAGATAGAAGGAAGCAACGGCACGTCTGTGAGTGAGCGACTGCAGACGAGATGCCAGATCAGGGCCAATTGCATTGCATATCCGTCTCTGGATTTTATCAAGGACCTTGAGACAAACAGAAGGAACACCAGACCATATATGGCAGCCATACTCCATGCAAGGTCGAATGGTTGATTTGTAGATTTGAAGGATCGACTCCAGCGAGAAAATTTCCTGGCGCGGCACAGGGAGCCGACTTTCCTTGCGGTGGACGAAGCTCAATGTATTCGTTCCATCTCAGGTCAGCAGACAATGTGAGACCGAGCAGTCGCAAAGAGGTGCTCTCGTGGAGTTGAGCGTCAGACATTCTAATGGGGTGGGGCAGGGATGTTTCTCTATGGTGAGTAATAGAGAGCAGTTTTGTTTTTGAGGCGTTAAAGTTAACCAGCCAATTTCTGCCCCAGTTCACAACAGATTGCGACAGGAATTGGCTGGTTAATTAATTAATTATTTTAGTTAAGTTATAGTTATATTAGACATGCTACATTATAGCCGAACTTTAGAGTAGTTTGGATATGTAAACTTCTACTGTATTTAAAACTTAGTAAATATGTATTTTTGGCTCGTTGGATCAATTATGTTCCCTACTGGAACATCGGAAAAACTAAATTGAACCAAAGACTTCACTGTGTTTATGAAGTGAAACCAAAAAACTGAAGTAAAGCCATTTATTTCGCTGATCCCGAATTACCGAATTTTTGTGGTGTTAAAAGTTTGAACTTACTGTTATGTGGGTCGATATGTGTGAATGTTCGTGAGTCGAAATTGGTAAATAAAGGAATAATGTTTACTAATGAATAGAGCTCAATATCAATGGCTTGTGAGATAAGCTGTCGTTGAATGCATACAAATACAACTACTCTCGATGCTTCTTTTCTCTTTCATCCAAATGCACCGATCAGAAATTCGCCAGAAGTATCAAATTTCAATTCAATTTAACTGGATGACGTATTTCACTTTGATGTTCTTTGAAGTCATTTTAAAACTATTGATAAAATGCTTTGGTCTATAGTTTCTTCAGTTTGGGGCCGTCAGCATTCATTCTGATCATGAGAGGTTCCTTACGTGTATCTAACGCTGGCATAATAACAATAACGACTTTGTTAATAATAATAATAATAATAATAATAATAATAATAATAATCCAAATGAACATTTCAACCTCTTCGGATTCCTTTTAGTGTATTTACTTTCATATCTTATTTCTATTTTGTGCTTATTTTTCTCTCCTTCTTATTAAATCTTTTCTTTTTTTACTACCTTTCTTTCTTTTAAAAAAAATCTCACATTATTGATTTCGGCATTTTTATATCATCTTCCTTTTCCACGCTCATCGATAGTGTTGGCATATTTCATCAAACCTCCCCTTTTTCAGTTATTGATATGCCCTCAATTGTCTGACTGTTCTCGTACTAATTAACAGGTACGATTCATCTTTCTTTAATTTTATATTTTTTTCTATTTTTCCTATTTTATGCTTCTTTTTCTTTTTTTATTCAACAGTTTTTCTATTCTTTCTTTCTCTATTTTCTTTCTTTTTTCTCATATCTATCTATCTATCTATCTATCTATCTATCTATCTATCTATCTATCTATCTATCTATCTATCTCATTCAATTCACATCTATCTCATTCTGTTCATATCTATCTATCTATCTATCTATCTATCTATCTATCTATCTATCTATCTCATTCAATTCATATCTATCTCATTCTGTTCATATCTTTCTATCTATCTATCTATCTCATTCAATTCATATCTATCTATCTATCTATCTATCTCATTCAATTCATATCTATCTCATTCTGTTCATATCTTTCTATCTATCTATCTATCTATCTATCTATCTATCTATCTCATCCATTCATCTATCCCATCTGTCTATCTATCTATCTATCTATCTATCTATCTATCCATATGTATCTCATTCAATTTATATCTATCCCATTCTGTTCATATCTTTCTATCTATCTATCTATCCATCTATCTCATTCAATTCCATATCTATCTATCTATCTATCTCATTCAATTCATCTATCTCATTCTGTTCATATCTATCTATCTATCTATCCATCTATCTATCTATCTATCTATCTATGTATCTCATTCAATTCATATCTATCTCATTCTGTTCCATATCCATCTATCTATCTATCCATCTATCTATCTATCTATCTATCTATCATCCATTCAATTCATATCTATCTCATTCTGTCCACATCTATCTATCTATCTATCTATCTATCTATCTATCTATCTCATTCAATTCATATCTATCTATCTATCTATCTCATTCAATTCATATCTATCTCATTCTGTTCATATCTATCTATCTATCTATCTATCTATCTATCTATCTATCTATCTATCTATCTATCTCATTCTGTTCATATCTATCTATCTATCTATCTATCTATCTATCTATCTATCTATCTATCTATCTATCTATCTATGTATCTCATTCAATTCATATCTATCTCATTCTGTTCATATCTATCTATCTATCTATCTATCTATCTATCTATCTATCTATCTATCTCATTCAATTCATATCTATCTCATTCTGTTCATATCTATCTATCTATCTATCTATCTATCTATCTATCTCATTCAATTCATATCTATCTCATTCTGTTCATATCTATCTATCTATCTCTCTATCTATATATATATATATATATCTATCTATCTATCTCATTCCATTCATATCTTACTCATTCTGTTCATATCTATCTATCTATCTATCTATCTATCTATCTATCTATCTATCTATCTATGTCTCTTTATATCTATCTATCTTCGGTGATGTTTCAGCAGCTCATTGATAAAAAAATGTATGACGCATTAAATTTGGATATGTGCATTTGTGTTTGTAAGTTTGCTTCAATGCATTGTGAACGCCTTTACTCATTTGATGCAGTTAGATGCATATGCATATTTGGCACACATGTGAATTCGTGTATGTTGATACATGTTTATGTGCTTTGTTAAATGTGAGAGCGTATGTGTACGCGAATTTGTATGTGTGCGTGTGTGTGTGTGTGTACGTACTGAAGTCCTATGTGTTTACGTAAGCAAAATTTATAGGATCTTTGCCGATTGACAAATTGTTTTGCTTATCATTCAGTTAATTCAATTTATTCGCCAAAGTGGGAAATTTCCTAAAGAGATTCTCGTTAATAGTTGAACTAAATTCAATAAACGGAACATCGGAAGAAAATATAATAGTCACACACTCATCGACGGTGCAGATTTTGACCTGAATACGGTAAGTGCATTCTAGGGAGTCGAGATTGTAATTAACAGAGGAGATCTTTTGAAAAAAAAAAACAAAAAAACAAAAAAAACACCGGCATAGGCTAAAATGCTTAGCGATCGTAAATTATCGATCTTTTCGCTTTAATAAGGAAAAATGTACATCGATTATTGAAATCATTGCATCAATAGAGGCAGAATGTTTCTATAAAAATGATCTTGCCAACGTGGAAAACTTCCTTAATTTTTTAAATTAATTTCAACCCGATCAAGAGTATAAAATCCTTAAGATACAATGGGTTACTGAGAGAGAAACCCCACACACACCACAAAAAACACGAGCATATAATAACTTGATTGATTTGTTTTATGTAGCTATCAACATTTTGCAAATTATCTATACCCAGAAAATAGTTTTACGTTTTATTTTTTAGAGATAATAATGATTTACTGATACAAGTCTAATTAGCTACTATTAACATACTAATTAACCCATAGTTGGAGTAGAGGTGGATTTATGCCTTTCCCAAGGGCAATTGCGAATGACTGAATATAAGGAACCCGACTGGAATTCGAACTCGGCTGTTATCCATTACGCTAACCATGCTTAGAGTACCTGCTAATCCCAAGTGATCACCAATCTAGGTATTTACCAGGCTCGACAGTGCTTAACTTTCGTGATCATACGAGAACCGCTTTTTCAACGTGATATGGCCGTAAACCACACCACGCGCACATCCAAGCTTACAGCACGTGCTATCCGAACGCGGTCACCCATCTAGGCCTTGACCAAGCTCGACGTTGCTTAACTTCGAGAATCGTAGGAGAACCGGTGTGTAAACGTGATAAATCTGTAAACAGAGGACAATAAAAGAATAGAGTTTAGGGATGCAGAACAAAGGATTGACATTTGGGTCTTTGAAGACCGTAGTTGACAGGAAAGTGAGAAACTAGAAGAGCGTGTAGCGCAAGAGAATAAAGAGTCAGCCTTGATGTTATGTTTACAACTATCAATCTCAGCAGTGGCATTATGAGACCTAGCTGCCAAACAAGTACTGCGCTTAAATTCGTCGAGGCACCAACCAGGGGAGGTTATCAGAATAATTATTGTGAAAATATTTATAGAATAGACAAATGAAGTTACATGACGGCGGTGGGAATTTGGCCAAAGCATTAATGCCAGGTCATGACCGATAACGTAGCCGATTCTTGTAAAAAATGTCGAGACTCATAGTAGAAACACTAAACCAGATATACTTGCAATATTCGATGCACAGGCGAATGATAAAGTTATAAATATGCAACATAGATTCTGTCGAGAAAAATTGTCGAAGACGACAGCGTAAACCGACATTCCTAAGAGTAAACTTGATTGTTTCATATAAACTTTCTAATTCATGTTAGTTTTAACAGTTAGCCAGGACAATTAAAAGCAATCCTGGCTGTTCAGTCAATGAAATCCGAATTCTTTTTTTTTTTTTATAAAGATACATATAATAATACTACGTGGAGTATAGCGGCTTGGATTAAGGAATCGGAGTGCCGAGTTCGAATTCCAGTCGAATCCATTACATTCACTTACGTGCTAATGCCCTTGGGAAAGGTATGAATCCTCTTCTTCTCACCGCGCAGCTATGGGTAAATTACAGGAGAGACTGGGTCTATAACGGGTCTAGGAAAAGAAAAACTATTATTTCAAAACCGGTTGTGTTTCTTGGATAAAATTGTCCAAGAAACACCACTTCTACTGCCACTGCAGCACATATGGTGTCCCTACGGGATAATAATAATAATAATAATAATAATAATAATAATAATAATAATAATACTGTTCTAAATGAAGAGAACAGATACTACACTTTGATCTCAACTCGATGGATATGGATTAAAGGAAAACAAACTGAATTGAACTGGCTTCACGTTCAATGAATTTTGAACGTTTCCAGATAAGGACAATGATAATATTACCATTAGCATTAGAGATGAGGAGAACAGGTGCTACACTTTGATCTCATCACAGTAGCCAGGGATTGAAGAAAAGCGTAAGTTGAGTTGTACTGGCTGCAATATCTTAGGCTGAAATGGGGAATGGGGAAAAGGACGGTCTTCTGTTTTAACATTAAACTTATCTACCTATGATCACTAACCCAAAAGAACCACAATAATCCTTTCACACACACACACACACAAAAAAAAAAAAAAAAAAAAAAAAAAAAAAAACAAACAAACTAAAAAACAAAACATTCATACTTAACATCCACCATAATACCTCAATGTCTCTATGAAGTCCTAACTAGTCCCCATATGTACAATTCTTGTCTTCGGGGTGTGGGGGACAACAATTTAAAATCTGAACTCCAATGTGTATATACAATATGAAAACAAAACTATTTACAAGAAACTAAATAAAATAGTGTTAGTAATACCCCCCCACCCCCACCCTCGTCCTTAATTGTGGCAGAAACATCAGTTTACTGGACGAAATCAATGCGGGACTTTAATAATATACAATACTGATTCGTCCAAGCACTCACTGAAGACAGACTCATTCAAACAGTAGAACAGATACGAAAATCACACCCAAAACGAAAGGCACCCTGTGTTCACGAGAGAACTGATGTCTCTGCTCACCTAAACGGGGGAGGGAAGAAGAATTAAAGTAAAGAAAACAAGGACATAAATAAAAGGGTCAAGGTTAACTTAACGGAAGAAGCTAAAAGAGAAAGAACAACCCTGAACTAATATAATTTCGAAAGGGGTTGTAATTGTTCAACACAGCGCAGCATCCTAATGCCTAACCGGCATCAAAGTGCCACTTCAAGTCTTCCGCTTTTACTCGACACAAACGGGCAAGATTCACCCACATTTTACCAAATTCTAATGAAGGGAGCCGCTGCATTTCCGTCCTAATCTTGACTTTAACCTGATGCTTAAAAGTCTAAGATCAGTTGGGAAGTAGTAAACTTCTGACCCCCATTGAATTCCTTGTGACAAATCGTCCAAATCAAGACTCTCATAACACCTAGTTCATCCCTCGGAGGTATCATATTCCTACAGACAGACCTTGCCTCAAGGACAAAGAACTTTCCGCGCAACATGCGAACCATGATGCCTTCGTTACACAACGGGACAACGAGCCTGCAATGAAACAAATCGTGACCCATCACAAAGAACGCTGTTTTGGGGATTTATCCTTTCCGCCGAACAAAGCATTTTGCCGACCCAGATGGCCTTACGAATGACTAGCCAGGTGAGTTATACTTCATCATTATTAAGGCATTTCAACCGAGGAGCCCACGGTCATACTGAGCGAGCTTGTCAATCAGATCATCTCGTACAGATCCCCTAACACTTGATATAATGCCCTTCGAGACAAAGCCTGGTTGTTACAAAGGCCACCCGACATCCGTAAGATGTGTTTCAGCTCTATACGACATTCAAAATAGGAGGAGTACTCACCTCGGGCTAAACGAGGGGCCTCATTCTTGCACGAGTGCACACTTCTCAGAGAGGAGAAATTCTTACGGGTGTCTTCCTTCCAGAATTCGCCCTATTCATCCGATTCGCGACACATTCGAACTAGGAACGTCATGCGAAGGGTATGATGTCGAGACTTAACGCTAGACAAACCCAGACCGCCTTCAGAAAGGCGGAAGTAAAATAATCTTCCGAGGTACCTTAGAGGACTTGCCTCTCCACAAGAAGGAGAACAAGAGCCTTACGAATGAAACTAGTGTGGTAAACGGAAGTGGTGTACAGAGAAAAGGTAAAGGTAATCGAGTAGATGTGCGAGGCATATACTTCCGTCCTCCACTTTAAGGAAAGATTCTTCCGGGACCCCAGTCCAACTGCGATCTCTGCTTTCGCCTACACCTCCGACCAGTTAATTTCTAACAAGAGATCGGGACCAAACCAGACGTCGAGTATCTTGAGCGGCTCATCGGTACAGAGGAAAGGTCCCGGAAGAGAAACTTCCTTCCACGCATCCAACCTCAAATCGCGGTTGATCTTGGCCCTTGTCACCGTTTCAAATCGCGGTTGATCTTGGCCCTTGTCACCGTTACAAATCGCGGTTGATCTTGGCCCTTGTCACTTGTCACATTATCGCGGTTGATCTTGGCCCTTGTCACCGTCGCATACCCGCTAATTTCTTTGCTGACTTCGTCAGTCTCAGCTCTTCTCGACACATGAACCGAAACATCGTCAGCATAGGGGGGGTACCTGGCCGAGGTGGTAGCACCAAGTAGAAAAATTCCGGATTCGTTTTTAACTTACGAAAGAAAGATTCCAAAGCAAGAACGTAAAGCAAAGGCAAAAACGGACAACGAACGGAGCGAGACAATACGAAAGGCTCCGATCGTACCCCATTCATTTCCACCAGCGAACTGGGGAAAGCATACAGAAATCGGATCCAGCAGTGAAAGTACGGCCCCAAACCGTCCGCCGAAATGACAGCCTGCAGAAATCGATGGTCCGTTCTATTGAAAGTCTTGGACTGATCTAAATTGATCAGGGCGGATTCACTGTCGATTTGCTCGATGATCAAGCATACCATATGAAGGTTGTCCTGAATAGGCTTGACCTTCACAGCACAGTGTGTTCGGAGCCAATCAGATTATCGAGGGCAGCTTGCAAACGGCTGGCTAAGATCTTGGCTAAAATCTTTAACTCTATATTTATCATCGTTAAAGGCTGAAAGTTATACCTATCCCATCCCTAACGTTTTTGTCCTTGCGAAGCAAATTGATTACACCCCTGGTGAAGCGTTTAGGTATAGACCCCTGCGTCAGCATTTGTTGAAAATCAGTGCCAGCAAATGAACGAAAATGGACGACTGCCCCAAGAACAGTTCATAGAGAAGACCATCTAAATCCGGAGATTTTTCCAGGCCAACCTGCTTCAACGCTTTCTGGATTTCCAACTCTGTGTTGGGACCTTCGCACCCAGCTGCCTCGAGGCAGGGAAAGTCGGTTAAATAAGCATCGAACTGAGCAGTGATCAGACTAGGCTATCTGGTAAACAGATCATGGAAGTAGTCACGAAAAGCCTCACATATGCCCGCGTTTGTAGTCACGATCCAATTATCCGGCAATGTCGACGAAATGCATTCCTAATTTCTTCTGCATAAATTCAGCCGCCATATTCATTGCCTCGGAAGACATTATTTTTAACCTAGGTCTAACAACCAGAGCTTGATCCTTCTTGATAGGCAAGGTGGCCAACTCTGCCTTAGGTAAAGCTACGTCCCCGCTCTCACGGCTTTTACTGCCCGATCGACTTTTTTCTCACATGCCGTCAGCGCCGCTAATCTATCTAGATTGAACCGACGTCTATATTCAGCAGCAAACGACCTCTGTTCCCTGTTCTGGCAATCACTTGCAAAGGTGTGTTACCTGTTGCTTTCCGCTCTCCAATGTCGCCATGAATCAGTTCTGTGAGTGTTAAATATTCTAAGCCATCTTTCCTCATTATATGTTTTAAAACATTCAACTGTGTCTTTCAGATTCTCAGTATAAGTATACTTTCATCTTTTTTAAAACTTCCTCATTAGAGACATCTCCAATCCATGGCATTCTAATTATTCTTCTGCAGAACGTCACTTCTGTTTGAGTCTTACAAGACCTATAACATTTCAGATTGTTCTTTGTATTTTATAAAGAATCTCTAAATACATAACAGATTCACCTGACCAAGTTATGATATTCAAGGCACGGATGAATGGTAAACTTATAAATGTCTAGATACCCTGAACATATAGAAATGTCACAGGGAAGCTATGTTACGGCTGTGTGAAAGTGACTGAAGTCGAGATGCCAGATCAAGACTGGTAATATTGCAGATTCTTCTTTGTAATTAATCAAGAATATCAAAATGCACAGTAGAAGCAACATAATGTTCAATGCATGGATAAATGGTAGATTTGCAAATGTGCAAAAGAGATTTGAGCGAGAAAAGTCGTCTAGCAAGACACAGTGACCTTACTTATCTAGAAGCAGAGCTAGCTATTGTTTCAATATAATAGTTCTACTTCATATCAGGAGGAAAAGTTAGCCTAAGGAGGGGCAAGGACTCTCACCAGAAGATTAACATCCGTCATAAGGATAGGAGCTAAAATGGTTATCAAAGACGATTAAGAGAGAGTTCTATTTCATATCAAGAGGAAAAGTTAGCCTAAGGAGGGGCAAGGACTCTCACCAGAAGATTAACATCCGTCATAAGGATGGGAACTAAAATGGTTATCAAAGACGATTAAGAGAGAGTTCTATTTCATATCAAGAGGAAAAGTTAGCCTAAGGAGGGCAAGGACTCTCACCAGAAGATTAACATCCGTCATAAGGATGGGAACTAAAATGGTTATCAAAGACGATTAAGAGAGAGTTCTATTTCATATCAAGAGGAAAAGTTAGCCTAAGGAGGGGCAAGGACTCTCACCAGAAGATTAACATCCGTCATAAGGATGGGAACTAAAATGGTTATCAAAGACGATTAAAAGAGAACAGTTTCGGTTACAAGGAGCTAAAATTAACAAGCCATTTCTTGCACCGCTTAACAACATATGGAAGGTCATTTTTGAGATAGAATTAACCTTATCAAACTCTTTAGACTTAGGTTTATGACGGTAGTAAATAGTTATCGCATCAGTATATCAGGATGAGAACTGATGACACGAATGTCGTTGATGAAAATTATGAAGAAGGTAGGGTCCAAGGATAGAGCCCTGGGGGACGCCTCTATTGAAGTAGAATGATGGACAACATCGGGATGGTCGTTGATGAAAATAAGAAAAAAAAATTCTTCAATTTTGACAATCCCGCATTTCTCTGTCACATAGGAGGGTTGATCTTACATCATAGTTCGGCAATGTTTTCTTTCTTTTGGTTGCTTCATATCTTCTCTTCATTTACGAGGAAATTGTCCAACAATATGGGAGGAGAGATCTTACAATGCAATTCAGCAATATTTTCTTTATTTATTAAAGACATTTTTATGTTTAACGTTGTTATTTTATAAATACAAGTATTTAAGCAAATGCTCTGTTTATGATAAACAGTATTAAATAACATTTACCGGCCTAAATGTCCGAGAAATTTTCATAGAAAATATTCGTTCTTTGACAGGATTCGAACCTGCATCCTATTCGGAACCGTCATATACGCTGACGTGCCTTACCTCTAGGCTACAAAGAACCTTTTCGGTAGACAAGGTCGAATTTACTGCTTATAAACGTCATTTGTTTACATTTGATACGCCAGAGCAGTTATGAATGTACGAGATTCATTGAAGATTGAAGTTTATAAATAAAAAATTATTACCCGAAATAAATTTTGGAAGAAAAAAATATTATCAGCAATATATTTTTGAAAAAATATTACCAGCAATACGTTTTTGAAAACAAAATATTACCAGCAATATATTTTTTAAAATAATATTGCCAGCTATACATTTTAGGGGAAAAATATTACCAGAAATAGATTTTTGACGAAACAAAATATTACCTGTTAAAAAAAAAAAAGTTGTTGGCATTAAATAACCCATTGAGGTTGATATTCTGTAAAACACAACAAACCAAATCAAACAAAATTTGCCTTCGGATTTCAGTTTCAAATTTTCTGAATTATGTTAAAACAATTCCTAGATGTTTAAATTTTTGTATTTGCTTGATTTTGGTTTATCCAAAAGTAAATCGTGTCTTGTGTTTTTCCATTTTCTGAAAAAAAAAAAAAAAAAAAAAAGAAAGTCGTTCTGTGATTTTACAATTTATGTTTATTGCGTTTTTCTCACTTTTCCGTCACTAACTTTTATATCAGTTCCAGTAGTGTCCTTTCTGTTTTTGCTATCAACTCGGTGTCATTTGCATATGGCATGCCGGGTTCGAATTCCATTCTAGGAAAATATGAACACATCTCCTCTCCCTCAGCCTTTGTTGGCAATCATTCTTTCTTTCTTTCTTTCTTTCTATCTATTTGTCTATATATCTAATTCTATTCATATCTCTCTATGTATTTAATTCTATTCACATCTATCTATCTATCGATCGAGCGATCGATCTGAGTCTGTTCATATCTATCTTGCTGTGTATCCCTGATATAGAGTTACAGAAGACGAATGAAATACCCTAATTTTCAAGAAAAAGAGATTGTATATCATTCATTCATTTTCTTTCTTTCTTTCTTTCTTTCTTTCTTTCTTTCTCTCTTTCCTTCTTTCTTTCTTTCTATTTATCTATCTTTCTATCTATCTTCTTGCTTATGTATTCATTGGGAGCTCCAGGCTATAAGTGACAATTGAAATACAGTAATTTTCAAGAGTAAAAGTATTTATATCATTCTCTTTCTTTCTTTCTTTCTTTCTTTCTTTCTATTTTGCTCTGTATCCCTGAGACCTTCAGGCTACAAGAGACAATTGAAATGCCGTAATATTCAAGAGAAAGATAATTTATATCATTCTGTTTCTATCTATCTATCTATCTATCTATCTATCTATCTATCTATCTATCTATTTCATTCTATTCATATCTATCTCTCTTCTCGCTCTGTATTCCAGAGAACTTCAGGCTACAAGAGACAATTGAAATGCCGTAATTTTCAAGTGGGCGTGACAGCACAATCTTCTCATGCGAACTGTTTGTATGAGTCTACAAAGCGTGAAGAGTTTGGATTCGAATTGAAGCCTATCATTCTGCGCGTGTGCAGTGTCTGCGTATCTGAGCAAAAACCAAATCTCCCTCTGACACGCTCTGACACCCCCCTCTCTCTCTCATTTGTTAAATACCAAGGTGAGGCTCTCCGCTCAACAGTGAATCTCTTCACGCGAGACTTTCTAATTTCGTCACATCAATTCGCCAAGCATTCGCGAATGTTCTGTTCGTATAACGAAAGGGGGCTACCATCTGGATTTGGCGTGATACCTAACGGATTACTCACCCGTTTTTGATATCTTCCCAGATGGCACGCACCGAATCTCGTGTTAAGAGTTACTTTGGCGATCATGTCTCAGTTTACTTGGCTTTGTGACAAAAGATCAAATAATTCTTCCCTAAGCGCCAAATGAGGAGCAAAGCCGAACAATTTTCTCTCTTCGTGTGAGAAGAAGGCCTTCTTATTCTATTCTTTGAAAAAAAGTATTTTGTCGCGATTTATACATCAGATTTGGCACGCAAACTCGTCGGTAGATATTTGTTACTGGATAAGGAGATTGGACGATTCCTGTGTCAAAATTTTTCGTCTGAAATCAAAGTTAACCTGCGTTCTACCAATCAATACATAGCGGATAATTTCTAAGGCGAGAAAAAACAAACAAAAACTCCTAGAGTAATTTTAGGGTTATCTATCTATCTATCTATCTATCTATCTATCTATCTATATATATATATATATATATATATATATATATATATATATATATATATATCTATCTCATTCTCCACCTAACTTTAATCTGTTCATATCTATCTATCTATCTATCTATCTATCTATCTATCTATCTATGTGTATTATGTATCTCAGATTGTTCATATCTATCTATCAATCTATCTATCTATTTTTGTGTATTATGTATTTCAGATTGTTCCTATCTATCTATCTATCTATCTATCTATCTATCTATCTATCTATCTATCTATCTATGTGAATTATGTATCTCAAACTCTTCATATCTATCTATCTATCTATCTATCTATCTATCTATGTGAATTATGTATCTCAAACTCTTCATATCTATCTATCTATCTATCTATCTATCTATCTATCTATCAGTATATTTAGCTGGAGATTCGTTTATCTACGTTGTCGACATCCTACGCTTGAATCCTAGTGAAGGCTTTAATCATAATTTTGCATGCCACAAATAACATTTTCTACGAAGAGCAATAAATTGCTTTAGAAAACAATTTTTGAAATTGTCTTATTCACTCAAGCTATAGATGATCGTGGCGCTAAACATCTTCTTTTATTCTTTTCCCCTATTATTTCGGAATTGCTGTGAGATTTTTCTCAACGGGTTGGAATTCAGAATTTTCCTTCTTAGTGAGTGAAAACCGCCCAAGGCTGCATAACCCAGTCTCTCTTGCAATTCTACCCGTAGCTAGGAAGAAAAATGGATCCATATATTACCCACTGGCATGTGTGTAATATATGAAAAAATGCACGTTTAAAATTGAAGATACTAACTATATAAAATTTGAAGTAGACTCAACTATTCCACATAATAATCGCTATCTGTTATCCTGCCAGTATATCAACAATGAAACTATGATTTAAAAGACTGTAAATAAACGTTACATATTACGCAAAAGCGAACCTAAAAATGCGCAAGACTCGAAGCCTTGTGCCCAAACTATGTAATTAACCGATTAAAATAATCATTATTTACATTATTCGGACTATTGTCTTCATGTTTGACGGCGCAGTGGATAAAGGCGTTAGTTAGATCCAGTGACAGGAACACAAAGAGTTTGAGTTCAGGCAGTGGAGAACATTCAGAGGGGAATTAACAGAAGATAACTGCTTACTGACATCCATTAAACATGGCACGTGGAACGAGAACAGTCCACACCAGTGAGCGAAATAAAGGGTGCAGTTCTACATCCCAGCCACCTGAAGAAGGTCGGAGCGTACAACGGCCGAAACGATGTGATAAATATGGCGACAAAGATGAGGACAATAGTCCGAATAATGTAAATAGTGTACATAATACCTCATCTCAGAAATTAAGAGGAGATAACTGATAACTGACATCCATTAGACATGGCATATTGGACTAGAACAGTCTACCCCGGTGAGCGAAATAAAGGGTTCAGTTCGACATCCCAACCATCTGAAGAAGGTCGGAGCGTACAACAGCCGAAACGTTGTGATAAATATGGCGACAAAGATGAGGAATATAGTCCGAATAATGTAAATAATGTACATAATACCCCATCTCAGAAATATAGACAGATAGTAAAATAATTAAATTTTAATATATCCTCTGTTTTAAATGACCAGCACGTTTACCATTGAAGGATACTCACTAAAACTTTCGGGAGAGTCAGATCAAACTCATTAGATTCCGAAAGACTTGATAAGCACACACTACGGTAGGACGACTTTTCAGGGTATAAATTTAGCATTCAGTTATACTACATTTTTGACATCTAAACTATTAATTGATAAAAAAACCTGATAAAATAAAAATCGGACTAACACAAAGCACCAATCTCGTGGCCTACAGAGCTGTTGTACTCTCGATTCTTCTGTACACCTTTGAGACTTGGGTACCCTACTGGAGAGGTACCCGCAAAGTTGAAAGATCCCATGAAATGAAACTGCCTACAGAACACGAGACAGGACCGGATCACAAACAACGAAGTTCTCCTCCGCGCAGAGTCTAGAAATCATCCTGATTCGCCTACCCAAACGAATCTTCTCGCATCTGGCAAGAGGGTACGTGGAGATCCATCTCGCCGATTCAAGGTTCAGCTTAAGAACACCTGTCGGATGACAGAAACCGATGCGGTTCATTGGGAGACGGAAGCTGCTGAAAGAACCAATTTCAGTCCACGAAAGAAAACATCGTTCGAAAACACCAGAAGAGAAATTAAAGCGACCAAAAGAGCTCAAAGAAAAGCCAGAGATCCTCAATCTGTGAAACCTCTTACCTTACCATCCACTGGTTGCTGTCTTCTATTTAGATCAAACACAGAACTCATTTCACACAGAAGGAAATGTCGATGCTCAATACTGACCAATGAGTTCCGCAAACGACGACGAAAGTTTATAAAATTCAGATTTAATTTTATATCAGATTAAAATGGATTATGCGTTAGTTAAATTTTTAAAAAAGGCTTAAATTAAAAAAAAAACCCAATTAATGTAAATGCGATAGGTTACCTGGTTACGTCGATGCTGATCTACGGCGATTCATCGTTATGACGCAACTTCCATTAATCTTGTTTCGTTTTATGGCGTTTGCCTCGTACATACGACGGGGCAAAAAATACGTTTGTTTTTCTTTCTTCCCTAGATTTGCTGCAGCTTCCAAGTATTGCAAGAGAGATCGATCTTATACTTCGTCATCTCACCTACCGAGAGCCAATGACATCACTGACAATAAACATAACAGTTTAAAACAATTTAATTTCACATTTATATATATTTTTTCATTTCATTATATATATTATATTTCTGCCCTCCATGTGTATTTTTAGTCCTACCCATGTTAGCATATGTCACAGAAATATGTTATGTTCTAGATTTTTATTTTTCTATTACGCTGTTATAGGTAACAGACGTACGTGCCTATTCACGGAAAATCGCGTTAAAACGCATCGTAAGAACGGAATTCTGTCGTAAGTTGAGGACTGTTTCTATTTTTCTGCATTCCATAATTAAACAATATAATGTAACATACATCATAAAATTGACAGAAGGAAGAAATATTTTAACTTAGTTTTAAATTTCTCAGTCTTGTGTAAAATTACACCCCATCGAGTTTTTCCCCTATAAATATGCGAAATTGATTTTTTTAAAGTAATTATAATTAATCTTAACCATTTAAAACGTATCCATGATCAATTAATATTTTTGCAATGGCGAGCTTTATATTAACGGAAAAATTCTAATCTTTTTTTGTGATGTATGGTGGCCGTAAATAATTAAATATAACCCAAGACTTCATTGTTAAGATAAAACAATATTTAATTACAACAGCAAATAAGAACAAAGAAGTAAAGTCAATCAAAAATAACTAACCATTTCAGTGAATACCTAGTTAGAAGCGAAGCTCAACTTAATGTCCTGTAAATTCTAAATCAAAACCCAAATCATCAACACACAATAATTCACACTAATTCAACTGGATAGTTCCACTCAATAGTTACTCAATAATCACTTTAGTCAGCAGCCTGACACTGCTATTTATACACTTGGCGGAAAAACATATATTCATATTAAAACCACCTTTTTTAAACTATTGTTTTTAAAGAAAAACTGACATTTTTAATAACCGACTTTCGTAACACGATTGACAAGGAAAGAGACTACATTGAAGAACAGATTTGGAATCCTGAGAGTTTATACGTTTGTGTACTTCTACCATTTTTACATTAGTGAGAATAACAGAAATCATATTTTGACCGACCCATAATGATATTTATTTGAATGTATTCCTCTTTGTTTACTCATTACTGAAATCACTCGAGTCCGCCATTTTCATGATTTTCAAAACCATTGATTTATGTGTTTATGATTTGAATGATTTGATTGATTTATGTGTTCATGGTTTAAATGATCTGATTGATTTATGTGTTTATGAGTTGATTTATGAGTAGCCTATCTTTTATTGACCAATCACTTCGATAAATAGGTGGAATAATCATATAAATTTCTAGGACAAAACTAATATTGAAATCTCAAATACTAGACGTCATGTCATAAATAAATAAATAAATAAATGACGAAAATTAAACTTATTTTCTAGTCCTTTAAACGTTATTCAAATTTCCTATTCTTTTACTGTAAGTGAGGGAAGCAATTATCAACTAAATAGTAATTAGCCATTGATATAATTATTTTATGAGGGAAAAGTACCCCCGTCATTAATTTTAATTCTATTTTCGAATAAGGAAGCAATGAATGGAAGATAATTAGCCCAATTAGAATAAATAGACAATCGGAACGTCCATCCTTCAAGAGATAAGAATTTGCGAAAAGAAGATAGCATAGCGTGAAGCCAGCTTGTTATATATATATATATATATATATATATATATATATATATATATATATATATATATATAATAAAAAATCCAGAGAAAAATAAAATTAACTGAAGTCTGAAGATCCAGAGAAAAATAAAATTCTCTGGTGAAATAAATTATAACTAATGGAACATTAAAGTGGTTTTTTTTTTAAATTAAATTAAATTAAATATTTATATATATATATATATATATATATATATATATATATATATATATATATATATATATATTTGAGTGTGCGTTTGTGTGTGTGTGGTGAAGCAGAGAAGACGGACGTTTTTGAAATGGCTATTACTCAGCCTCAGGTAACATTCGGCCCGTGGTGTCTTAGTTTTTTTCTTTTCAGTTTAAGTCCTGGCGCTGTGGACGATAGAGCACCGCGTATTCGCCTACGACTGGTTCGTGTAGAATAACGAGTCTGTCCCAGCAGTTCAGCGTGAGGTTCGTCGCCGATTCAGCATTCACCGACATCGGGCTTTTCTCACTCGTAACACACATGTTGGTTTCAGGCACTTCGTCCGCTAAGGTGGGGGCCCCATGAACGGCACGTACCCGGGAGAATGCGGAACGAGTCAGAGAAGCTTTGCTGCTCAGTCCGTATCGCTTTGCTCGGAGGCATGCTATTGAAGTTGGCCTCGATAATCGTTCGGTGATTTTGCATGAAGAAGTGAATTTTCACCCTTACAAAGTAGTCATTGCGCAACCGTTGAGAATAGCGGTACAAGGTGCGGCGGCTTATCTTCGCACGTCAGATTGAAGCAATTTTTGATGCAAAAGACAACCTCATGAGGAATGTTGTTTTCCACACGATTTTGTCAAATGTTAATTCAATACGAACACATTGATGTCAATAAATATTTTCTGAGGCTAAAATTTATGTTGATGCGAATTTTTCTCTGCCCCATCCTATATATATATATATATATATATATATATATATATATATATTTGGTTGGATTGATGTGAGTTTGTGACCCTGGGTTTCACGCTTTTGCGGTCGTCAGACAAACTGATTAATTTTTA